AAATGGCGGCTCCCCGCTTATGCTAATGAAGCCCGGGAAATTCAAATCCCGGGCTTCATTAGCAAGTGCGGTATGCATACATTACCCCGCTAGTTCGAACTAGCGGGGTAGTGTAGACATACCCTCAGACTGGTTGAGTGTCTGTCAATTTTAGAATAGTGATAGAAATGTAGCCATGTTAGTCTGGTGTAGCTGAAACAAAATACAGGACTATGTAGCACTTTAAAGACTAACAAGATGGTTAATTAGATTATGAGCTTTCTCCAGTGGGCCAGACCCACTTCGTCAGATCAAATAGTGGAAGAAAATAGTCACAACCATATATACCAAAGGATACAATTTAAAAAAAAAGTGAACACATGTGGTTTTCATTCCAAATATCCCCTGAACTGCTCTTCAACAGAATCAAAGATTTTGTTCCCCAAATCCCAACAATGACTGTCACTTACTGCCCTAGGAATCCTCTGGGAGCATTTCAAAGGTAACAGACATGAGCAGCCCAGGGCTTCATTGGCAGTGACACCGTGTGGGGAAAAGATGTGAGAATCTGAGCTCTGGGGCTCCTGGAGACTGGGAAGGCTGCAGATGCAGCAAAGGAACAAGGCACAGGGCTCCCTGTCCACCTTACATGGTAGAAACATGGCATGACACTGACAGGGCATGACAGGAGCTGCATGCAGCCCTCAGAGCCCTCCCATGGTGATGTGCCATTCCCTGGAGCTGGGGTGAGGACATGAACAAACCAGTTGCTGCCGGCAGTCTAGCTGCAGTGGTGCTAACACCTAGGTGTGAATAAGGAAACACAGGGACTTAGAACCAGAAACTGGCCACAAGCCCCACTGAAGCCCATGGACAGATTCCTACTGAGGTCAGTGAAGTTTAGATCAAGACATAATTGGCCCAGTCGGGGTTTACCCATGTTTGCTGAACGCCTGAACACACTCCCCTGCACAAACCTCCGTATCACGTCACTGTCAATGAGAACACACGTTATCATTGTTGTGAGGAGATCTCTGCTGTGGCAGTGCTGCTAACTGGGACCTCGACCAGTGGTTTTCAGACTACAGGTTGCAAACCAGTTCTGGGTGATGGAATATCTGGCATTGGGTCTCGTTGCTACAGGAGGACCAGTGGTGGTGCTACGGTAACTTCCTGCCTGTTTTAGCACCGCAGACTGTGCAATAGGCCCAGCTCCTGAGAGGGGTGGGGGAATACACAGGGCTCCACACACTGACCCTGCCCTGACCTCTGGATCCACACTCACGCTGGCTGGGAACCTGCTGCCGGATGCTTCTGGGGTACAGCATGATCTGTGGTGCCAGGACAGGCAGGAAGCTGCCTTAGTAACCCCCTCTCACTGCTGACCAAAAGTCACTCAAGAACAGCTCCAAGAACACAGGAACAGCCCCTCCTGCCCCAGCCCTGATACCCGAAAGGAAGAGGCACCTGCTATACCCCAAAACTCATCTAGTCAAATTACGTTGGGTGGTGGCATCAACAATTTTCTTCAACTGAGCCATGAGAAGATAAGTGAAAACCACTGGCCTAGACACAGATTATGAACACAGAGTAAGTGGCATTTCAGCCCTTCATGACAGATTTCCTCAGGCCCTGAGGAGCTGAACTTGTTTATTTCAGCTGGAGGGGCCCTTTCTGGTTCTGTGCATCTCTATCAAGCACCTGAATTTTCATCTCAGCCAGATTTGCATATTTCCATCCACGTGATATTTCTCTGCTACTCTGAGCTGTTATAAATAATCCCCTGCTGCTTGTGATGCTTGGCCATTGGCATCTGGGCAGTCAGACGTATCAAGATGATCTCGCAAGCGCCACTCATCTGGCTGTTGGTGCTCTGGATCCAGGGTAAGGATCAAACCAAGAGGCAACTGTCTGAATTTAAATGATTATTTATTAATCTTTTATGCAATAGCTCTTCAGTGGCCTAAATAGGCATCAAGGCAGCTTTGTTAAAGACACTGTGCAGACAGATCATAAAAAGATGGTCTCTGTCCTAAAGAGCTTTGGACTGAATCTTTTTTTATATTGGCTCAATCTGGAGAGGCTAAATATCACACAATATGTTCCTCAGAGATCATCGCTAACTGCAGAAAATGTTTCCCTTATTAAAACTGCCATAAAAGAAACAAAAAAATATGAGAAGGCCAAGAGCAACAAAGAAAATGGATTAAATTGGGGCCAGTCTAGACGCTTTTTTCCGGCTTATCTACAAGCCGGAAAAAAGCGGCGGACATCTTTATTTAAATCCCGCGGGGGATATTTAAATCAGATTTCCCTATTCTGAAGTTTAAAATTAGCATGCCCCTTTCGGAAAAGGGGCCAGTGTAGACGTAGAATGGGTGTGTCTAGACTATAGGGTTTTGTCAACAAAAGTGGACTTTTTTTGACAAAACTATACCTGCGTCTACACTGCCGCTGAGTTCTGTCGACATAATGTCGATAGAACTCAGCAGTTTTGTCGATGGCTGTAAACCTCATTCTGTGAGGAATAACGCCTTTTGTCAACAGAGTTCTGTGGACAGAAGGTGTTATTGCATATACACCATCCTTTGCATCTACACTGTCATGTCTACAAAGTGACTTGCTTTGTCAACAGAACTGGATGTAGTCTAGACGCTCATTGTTGACAGAAGCTTCCTTGACAGTATGGGTATGTCTACACTACATTGCCCCATCGACAGAGCCATGTAGATTACCTTTGTAGATGTAGGAAAATGAAGCGGCGATTTAAATAATTGCCACTTCATTTAAATCAAAATGGCTGCCGCGCTGAGCCGATCAGCTGTTTGTTGGCACAGCGCTGTAGTCTGGACGCTCCGTGGTCGACATCCAAGGCCCTTGTTGACCTCCCCAGTAAACCTCATTCCACGAGGCATAACGGGGAGGTCAACAAATGCCTTTGCAAAAATGATTTTATTCCCTAATTCCCCAGAATAATTGTTACATGCTGCCCCCTCAGAGCACTGTATGTTTCAAACAGACCTAGTCCTCCCAGGGCTTTATTGACAGCTCTGACTGTTGCAGAGGCTGGGCCAAGTTCCTGAATTCGAGAGCAGTAATGGGTTTACAATGACACTAGTGGCACCAGGAGACCAGGCGCATATTCTGATGGGAGCTCAGCCCAGCCTGCGGCACTGATGCTGTGTCTGGAGGTACCACTAATCTTCTATCTGCCCCTAGACTCTCCCCATGACTCGCTCCTATTGGCTCACAAGCCTGCAGAGGACTCCTCCTGGCTCCTCTCTACCCCCTGTTCAGACTCTTGTGCAGCTTTAGATCTGGGTGGTCTCTGATGTCCAGTGGGGGGGGGGCTGGCTCCAACCCCAGAGCTGAGTCCTCAGACCAGTGGAGAAGCTGGGACAGTCTTGGCCCATAGGAGGATAGGGGAGCTTGGTAGTTGGCCGGTAACAGGTACAGAGCTGGGAGGTGGCTGAGCCCAGGGACAAGCTAGATTCAGCATGCAGTCTCATTGCATGTGTGCAGGCCAATGGTGTAAAGAGAAAGGCGTATAGATTCACATTGAGGGCCTGATACAAAACCCAGTCAAGTCTGTGGAAAGACTCCTGACTTCAAGCCTTAATCTGTTCAAAGTTCCCCCATGTGCCGAGTGCTTGACCAGACCCGTGCAGAGCCGCACACACTGCTCCTCAGCTTCACGCTCACAGGGAACACAGTGCCAATGCTGCCAGGAGGTTTCTAGAAGACCTCAACAAGAATTATGACCTGAGAACACTTTTGTGAACCTGACAAGTGTCATTTCAGTCCATACTGAGGCAGCTATGCAAGGTCTATAGGGTGGAACTTGCCTATTACACTGGAGTCTCCCTTCCCTTCTTGTGCAAATCTATTGATCGTTTGCATTTTCATCTGATCCAGATTTGCATATTCCCACCCAAGTGATATTTTCTTGCTCCTGTGAGCCATTATAAAAGTTCTATCTTTTGTTACTGCTTATTCATCAGTATCCGGCCAGTAAGACGTAGCAAGATGATCTCACAGGCTCATCTCATCTGGCTGTTAGTGCTCTGGATACAGGGTAAGGATCAAACCTGGAGGGAACTGTGTGAACTGAAAAGATTATTTACTATTTGCATTCCAGTAGCACCTAACGTACCAAATCAGGGCATCTCTGGTCTTGGCACTGTAGAAGCGAGTAATGAAAAAAACGGAATCTGTGTTTAAGAGCTTACTGATTGGCCCAATAAAGCAAATGTTTAGATCCAGGGTATTTGCATATCAGAGAGTGTCCCTAAGTCACAGAATATTTATCTTATTAAATCTGCCAAAGGAAAAAAAACAGACATGAAAAAGCTGAGAGCAATACAGAAAGGGATTTCATATGAAAGTGTTTCATCTTTTAACACAATTGGCTAGGTGGTGAGCTACAGTAATTACAGAAAGATGCCAATTAGAATCTTAAACCTGAGAGAGCATTGCACAGTTTGACCGGCTGAAT